ATGTCTGACACTTAATGAACGTTTATGGAGTTGGAATATCATCAATCGGTATCTTAGTTCGGGGGGGTTGGAAGGATTTTTTTTGGGGGGGGGGGGGGGAGACATTTGGGATTAGGTGACTTGCCCAGAGTCACACAGCTAGTAAGTGTGTGAGGCCACATTTGAACTCGGGTCTCTTGACTCTAGGCCTGGCGCTCTATCCACTATGCCACCTAGCTGCCCCCTACTGCTTGAAAGTATTCTGAATGAGCCTAAACTTTTTACTTAGAAGGCTTTTCATTTTCTTAGTTTAATATAGAATAATTTGCTTATACTTTTACTGTATAACTTAGAAAAGGCCTTTTACAGTATAGGCTGATAGAGATCATTTGGATCAACCCAGGTATGTGACTGTTTATAAAATAACTGTCATCCCCTCGTCCTTGGACTTGGCATTCACAGCAGCACATGTCTCGTAGGTTGATGTGATATTTGATGAAGATGCTGGATTTCTAAATGCAATCAAGACATTCATGGCAACAACCAAGAGGCCTGTGATTCTTACTACAAGTGGTAGGTAAAACTGACTTGTGCAAAATTTGTTTATGTTGATTTAAAATATTCTGGCAATGCACTTCTTTTCAGTTAGGAAATCTATCCTGAAGTTAATTGCTTAGTGGGATTTTTTTTCCCCTTTAATGTATTCATGGATCTGTATCTGGTGTTCTTTCTACTACATTTCTAGTTGTGAAAAGTCAGGCCGGGGAGTGGAGTTGTTGGGGTAAAACTGGAAAGAGCCTGTGATTGGGAGCCATGAGAGCCTGGGCTGTCTAGTTATTAGCAGCGTGGCTTTGAGTAAATCTCACTTTTATATCTATGAAGCAACGATACATGCCCTGCTTGACTTCCCTGTTGGGAGGATCCAATGAGATAATATATGGGAAGCTTTTTGTAAACTTTAGAGCAATATATAGGTAACCAGTGTTATTATTAATAGTTGCCAGTGATTTAACTAGTAAAGTCATGAAGAGCATTTCAGTTCCTGAAAAGATTGTATTTTAATGACGAAAGTACATCCTGAAAGGACCAGTGCCTGTGCTGCTGTTTTAGAACTCGGAAGAATCTCCTAATTAGAATGTCTTTCATCCAACCTGCATGTGGACCAGGATCCTCACCACAGCAGCTTAGAGGCCAAGCAGAACAAAGCTAATCCCTCTTCCTGTGCCCCACCTCCCATCCTGACCCAGGAGTTCTCTGCTCCAGGGGAAAGCCCTCCTCTTCCTTCAGCTGACTTTCACATGGCAAGACCTCAAGTCCTTTAATTTACCACACTGGTCACTTCAAGCTTATCTCTGCCTTCCTAAAAATGGAGCACCCAGAAGTGAACACAGCATTCCAGAGAGGGTCTGGAACACTAGCATAGCAAGGCCATGAGAGTGTCTGCTCTCTCTTCTTGGTCATGAGTCCTCTCTTCATGCATTTACTTGTGGTTGCCTGAGCACACTTTTGATTGACAAAATCCCCAGGTCTTTTTTAGATGAACTGTCTATTCATGTATCCCCCATATTACATTTGTGAAGTTAAATGTTGGAACCCAGATGTAGACTTGAAACTTACTAAGGATAAATGTAAGCTTACTGGTTTCAGCCCAATATTCTAGCCTGATGGTCCTTCTCACCCAGCTCTGTGTCCTCTGCACATTTGATAAGCTGACTATCTCTACCTATATCCAATTTATTGATAACTTAATTTAAGAACTTTATTTTTGCAGATCCAACATTTAGTTTAACATTTGATGGATGCTTTGAGGAAATCAACTTCAAAACTCCCTCCTTGGTACGTGTTGTATTTTTTAAATCATAAGGTTTGCATGCTAGTGTAAACATGGCATATTATATATAGTAGGATATCAGAAAATGTCAGAACTGGAAGTGATGCTGGCAATGGTCTGGTCCACCAAAAAGCAAAAGGTCTTTTTGGTTGCATGAATTTAAAATGACACCAGCATTTCCATAAAATTCAGGACACTTCTTTCCAGTAATGTTTTGCCTTCTGCATGCTTGTGGGTTAAAGGAAATTGCATTTATTATTTGTGTAGGGGCTTCCTACTTGATGAATATTGACCTGAAAGCTTTAGGTGATACTGGGGGGAGGGGAGAGGCTCCTCCCCCATCCAGATACTCAGCTTACAAACTGTTCTTTTCATATAGTATTGTGTTTTAAAATAGATTCAAAAGGATGATTGGTATATTGTACAAAAAGATGTATGATCAGTGATAGAAATTAGATTTTTAAAAATTTCTGAACTTCCTGTCCACAAACAAAAACATTCAATTCAACAAAATTCAAATTTTTTAGACGAGATTGTTTGATCATAATTACCTTGCTTAGAGCCCTTAGTAAATAAAATATATTAACTGAGCCTTGTAAAATTTTGCAAATTCATTTATTTTACTGTGGAGCTCTAATCAGGATTAAAAGGATTCTCTTAATTAGTTTTGTATGGTTTTAAATATATAAATGGAAACTTTGTGTATTTAGGAGGGTTTTTTTTTTAGGAGTTCTGTAGGGGGTCAGATTCATGTTGACTCTCTCCTACAAAAAATGAGGAAAGTTTCCTTGCTTCAGTAATGTATAGCCATATTTGCTTTTTTTTTTAATAAATTTTATTGATATCTTTTGTTTTTATATCACCTGTATTTCTTAATGTGTATTACCCTCTCCTTCTGATAGAATCATCCTTTATAAAATTTAATTTTTAAATTTAAATTTAAAAAGAATGGTGAAAAAAACAGTTTAGTAAAACTAAACAAGATATCAAAAAAGTCTAACCATATTTGCATTGTTCATACCCTTAATTTCCCACCTCTGTAAAGGAGTGTGTGGGCAGGCAGGGATGCACCTTTTCAAATTCATTATGAATACCCAATAAAATGAGTGTTTCCATATGCTGTGTGGAAAAGGAAAGCATTGTACCTGAAACTGGAATCTCTTATGTTGAGTTGGCTTTCCTTTTTAAGTATATAACAAATTCAGCTTGTAACTTTCAAGGTTGTTCTGCTTGTGTGTGATTCCTTTTGACCTTGCTTCTGTTTTCAGGGAGCTGCCTTGTCATATCTCTTCTTTAGGGTGTCATATGCTTTTAATTATAAAACCACATTCCTGAATATTTACTTCTAAAGCAATTTCTTTACTTGAAAGAACTTTGGGGATATTTTGAGTTTTAGGAAAACTCACAAATTCAGTTTTACTCTTAGGATAGTAAGCATTTCTGATATTGCTATTTTTTTAGAAAAAACTTTTTTTTAGAAACTATTTAATTGAAAAATCTTTTCTATATGTTTCTTTTCCACTTTATAGCTCAATGTTGCCAGCTATCTACAGACACTCTGTTTGGCCGAAAATTTAAGAACAGACATAAAAGACTTTATCACCTTGCTGACTGTTAATAATTGTGATATCAGAAGAAGCATTCTTTACTTACAATTCTGGGTTAGAAGTGGAGGTGGATTCTTAAAAGAAAAACCATTATCACTTCATGGTGGGTTGATCTGTTTAAAAAGATGTGTCCAACTGTAAGTATGGACATTATAAGCAGTTGATAATATAGTCAATTTCAGCCATCATTTATCACTTTTTATCATCTAAGACAAACTGAATCAGTAACCATTTATTAAGTACCTACTATGTGCAAAGTACCAGGCTAGATATATCCCCCTGGCATAGTAGAGATGTTACTGAAAAGTTACATTTAAGTTGATTTTTTAAAAAATGAAATCTTTTTGTTTCTCCTTCCTCTCACTTGCTACCGTTAATGTTGTTACAGTGATGCTTTTTGCATTTCTCACTGATATTTACATGGCATTGATTCCTAATACTCAGCTTCAAATTTAAACATAGGTTTCCCAGCCTCTCTTTGAATAAATGGATCTTCTGTATAATACTTAAATATTCTTAAAATATTTTGTTTTAAGGTATCCCACTTGAAGTGTTTAAAAAGTTTTTTAATTGATATCCTTTAGTTATATATCACTTACATTTCTCATTGTACCTCTTCTCCTTCCCCCACCCAGAAAGTCATCTCTTATAACAAAGAACTTAAAAAAGAAAAAAAAAGATAGTTCAGTAAAAACTGACCAGGTTATCAAAAATGTCTAACATTGTGTGCGTTGTACCACACCTATAGCCCCTCTGCCTTTGCAAAGAAGCAGAATGAGTGAGGTAACTTTTTGTATCTCTTCTTTGGGCCCACACTTGGTCATTAAAGTGAAACTTTTGAAATGTTAATATCACCTCTTAATTTATCTTTAATAAATTCAGATTTTTTCATAAAGGGGGGGCCCTGTATGTCTTAGATTAAGTTGAGCTTATTAAATGTTCACTTTATAGGTGAACAGGATAAAACTTAAGGGGAAACCTCAGAGTAAAATAAATTAGTTAATAATCAAATATTGCCCATAATAGGCATGACTGGAATTAAAAAATAAATAAGAGCTGGTCCTTGTCCTTGAAGACTTCTAATAGTTACTTGGGAAGTCAGGCTTTTTATATGTGAGATTGATGGAAGCAACTTTAAAACAAAAGTAATTCCATATAGTCTAAACTGTGTGTAGAAACCTTGGACAAAGGTGGGATTCCTTAAGAAAGGCTTCTTAGCAGAAAGAGGAATCTTGAACCAGCTTTCTAGCAAATGATAGAAATGGCTTTCCCAAGAAGAGATTATTAAGTGGTTTATATTTTGTATTATGTTAAAGTGGAATGAGATGGATAATAAAAATTATGGGTAGGAATGCAACCCAGACTGAATCAAACCAACAATTTATCCAGTCTGTTATGTCATATGTTACATCAAAGCACATTCTATAGAAAAGCACAATTGTAATACCAACACCAGAATTATGATTACTCACCAGATGTCCAGAAAGGATCTTAAAAGACTTACTGAATCTGTTTATATTTTCAGATTGTTCAGTTTCTCTTGGTAGTAAGTTCTACAAGTTCACTCCTGTGTGAGATAGTATTTGGTATTTGGCTTTACAACTTTTCATCAGGCTTCAAGTAGTCCTAGAATACCCATAATAACTCATTATCATAATGCATCAAGATTTCTGAAGCACTTTTCCACCCAATTCTGAGAGGTAAATAGTGTGTATTTTATGATCCCCATTTTACAGATGAGGACATTAAGACTCATAGACTTTAAATCACATTAAGTATTAAGTCAGGGTTGAAACCTAGGTCTCCTGATTCAAAATCTAGTGCTTTTCCCTCACCTGGGAATTCTTAACTTTTCTTGTGTCCTAGAACACTTTGGCAGTGTCTGGGGAAGCCTGTGGACGACCCCTTCTCAGAATAATGTTAAATGCACAAAATAAAACATACGATTACAAAGGAAACCAATTATATTGAAATGCAGTGATCTTAACCTCAGGTCAAGACATCCTCCTTTACACCTGGTTGCCTTTAGAATTTGGTGAACAATCTATATCCATACAGTAGATCACTTTAAAGGCCCTCTTCCCCCCTCCCCCCCTTCATTTTTCTAGGATAGTTGTTGTAACATGAGTCATGAATGATTGTCATACTAATATCATTATTTTTTTTACTTATGAAATTAAAATAATGTTTAGTCTTTTGAAAAGTAATGTTTACTATATCAAAGACTTTTTTCTTTAATAATACATAGCTGGCCTATCAAGGGAGGAATAGTGTGTGTGTGTGTGTGTGTGTGTGTGTGTGTGTGTGTGTGTGTGTG